ATTGTGTGAGGTTTCCTATCTGGGATATTAGTTTAGAGAATTGAGACTGCTGCGAGGAAAGTTGTGCCTTAAGTGAGGAGTTCCCCCTGACCAACTCCCTCACCTGTGGATCCTGCGACGACGTCGATGACGCTTTGAGTGACGCTGGGGTCTTTGGGCCCAGGCAAGCTTCTTGGGACCAGGCACAGATGATAACTGTGACAATCCCTGGGACGAACCAGTGGAGGAGGAGAGAGGCAACGGGGACGAGTTACGGTAGCTAGCAGAACGGGACTGCGATCAGGACTTGGACCTTGACTTGGACCGAGACTTGGACCGGGACTTGGACTTGGACCGGGGCCTGGATCGGGACCTCGATCGCGACCGGCCACGGTTGCGGGTTCCGGAATGCTCGGTTCGTTGCAGTTGCTGTGGCTGGCCGAGAGGCGGGTACGACCGCTCTTGGGACGGTGAGTGATTAGTGCGAAGGATTGATGGGTGCTGCGGTTGTGGCTCTTCGTCAGGTGCTTGTGCCAGAGCGTAGCCGGATGGGGTAGGCTTCTTAACGAAACAATATTTGCAGTTCGAACTGTTTGTTGCGTGACCGCCATTACAATTGATGCAGCGGGCACGGCATGTCAGTTGGGTGCCCTGTGGGAACGGCGGGAGTTCCTCACCACAACAGGCACAGCGATTGCGTTTTGGATGAGGGCAAACGTTAGTTCGATGACCCACCTTGTGGCAGTTAAAGCATGCTTCTACTCTTGGGTAAAAGGGTTAAAGGCGAATGTAGACGCTGTGATAGAAGATCCATCCCGGCAAACAACCTCCAGGCATGGTGACGAGTACGTGGGTGGTCTGTCCCATGCGACGGCCACCCATGACAGGCATAGTTGGGTTTCTCTTGCAAGTTCTTCAAGATTTCTGCATCAGTAAAGCTGTCGTAGGCGTTGAAGACGATGCTACGAAATGCATCGTCGGATGGTGGGGTGTACAACGTGAAATTCGATGGTACGAACTCCGATCTACAGTGACGTGATGCGAAGGTAGGCTTGTGCTCGAACGGATTCCCGCACACTAAGGGTGAAGGTGTTTGTGGAGTGATCCCGCACTTTGTCGCTAGACACTGGTGGCTGGTCTGGTAGTGACGCGGCGTTCAGCAGGGCTTTGTACAATTGCCATGGCAGCAGCTTCGTGAGGTCGACGGGAGTTTTTGACTGTCTTACGATGTGGATGGCATCAGGCGGCATCCTAGGTAGTGGACCATGTCGTTGTAGGGGCGGCTGGCGTGGTTTTAGGTCGTTATGTGGGGGCGTCGCTTGCTGGGCGCCGTTCAGGTGCGGCGTTGCCTAGCAGAGCTTGAGGCGTCGCTTTTCCTCGGCGCGAAAACCGGGCGATGGCTGCCAAGAGCTGTCCGACCACTCTTCTGCCGAAACTGTGGTTCCTTCAACCATGTACTCCATGTCGAGGGCGGCCGGCTGCGGCAGGAACACGGGGAGAAATGAACGCTAAAGCACAGGCAAAAAGCCTATGCGAAAGAAAGCAGGAGCGTTGCAATAGATGCAAGAGCAAGAAACGCACGTTCGCTCTTTTCGAAAGCTCGAGAGGGACCCATTGCTCCGAAGTTTTTCTCTATTCTTCACTTAACTAGAGTAGCGTAACCACGACTCTAAGCCATCGTATTCGTCTTGCGGAACTATACCGTGGCGAAATACCCACCATATACCTTGTGCAGTTTCAGTGAATATTAAACCCCCCCTTTTTTCTTCAGTGCTATATGTGCATGTACATTACCACATCAAGATAATTTAATCACAGAAGTATATAGAGGGTAATGAGCAAAGTGTGATTATTAATTTTGATTAAATAGTTGCTACTAATTACTTCATGTAGTTACTATGGCAAGTGCACAACACAGCAGCATACATAAAGACATGAACTAATCACAGACAAGGACATACACGCAAACGCGCACACGGAATATCAAGACCTAGCCGGCATTGTGTTCTGTAGCAGCCGTATGAAAGCTATTTATGCTCCTATGTAAGAATAGCACACTGTTAGCCACCATAGCATTTTAAGAAATAATGGACGTTTTGTACGCATCATGGCCTGCCTTTCCATGTGTGGGATCATTTGGCACGAAATTTTTATTTCAAAGTAATCGACAAAGTAAAGGTGGTATAAATTTTGTATTCATAGTGTCACCATTACTGCAGGATATACGTTGGTGTTTATGAGAGACCCGGCAGCGTATATGGATTAGTATTTACCAAGTTAAAAAGAGCAAGAAAGCATTACTCGTTAGTAATGACAAATTTTGCATCTGGTGGGGCTTGGTGTAACCTCCTTTTTTTTAAATAACAATCTTTTTGTGCAGATAATGTAATGGGATGAACATTAGCCTCCTATCATAGATCATATGACAAAATTACTGCTAGATACTCATGTTTGACGATATCAGAAAGGGTGGCTAAATTAATGATGTAATTAATATTGGATGAACTTTTTTCTAGTTATGGATAAGAACCAGAACTTTCTTTTCGTTGATTTGCATAATCTGTAGGGCATCAAGTAGTCATTGTGCATATTGACACTTAATTGCAGTACATAACTCACCCCTAAACACTCTAGAACAGGGGCTCAAACACATGGACTGTAAGCCTTGCATCCGCAACCCACGCATGACTGTTTTTGTCCCACATTAAAAAAAAAATTTCAATAAGTATGTTACTGAGCTGCACAGGAATGATGTGTACACAATAGTTTTAGTGAGGAAGTTCATGCGGTCACCTTGTGTTGAAACATTACGTGGAAAAAAAAAAAAAAAAAACTATATTTCAGAATTGGTGTACACAATTTTGGGCATTGTTGCAATTGGCATCGTCATTTTCGTGAGATTCAATAAGGTCGAAAGCCGGACTAGCTGGTGACTGATCATTGTACCGTAAGGTTCAGTAGTGTTGCAACTCCGGGTCCTGCGGGCCTCAGTTTGGTAGCGGGCGCCCGTCCTAGGACCCATCGTCGAACAAGTCAGATGAGGCGCTCGTAAAAACGATAACAATTTATTTACATGGTTAGTAACTGAGAATTAAAACGAGAAGTGAAAAACTGTACATGAGAGCTGTTGAACTGTAGAACTTGAAATACACGAAAGTCTTCGGCTTATATAGCACCTCGCTGCTAACCCTGGGCACCTTGTCCATGGCTTCCGCCAATAGGGCGCTCCATGGTCTAGGTGCTCCACCCATGAAGGAGAGGAAAGACACCACACAATGCATGCGGAGAGGGCACAGTCCACACGATGCCCAAATATGGTCACCAAAGCACTGCAATGACGTTTTCGCACACGTCACCAAGTTTCGCGCACGTCCGATGATTTTGGTTTCCAAAATTCTTCTGGCTGCTGGGTGAGGTTGGAAAAACCGGCTGCCAGTACATGTGTCAAATATGCCTGACTGTTTGGGTAGGACAATGTGATGGGCCAGCATATCATCAAAATATGCCACCCCATTCAGCCGATACTATGGAGAAAGGGGGAAGGAGGAGTGGTCAACTAATCCCTCGTCTTGGAGGCGGGCTCCTGCAAGGGCTGCAGCACATAGTGCCTTTTCCTTCCCTTCAACCCCACATTTCATTCCTCCTTTGCTAGAAGCAGGGGCTTAGCTGCGAATATCCAAGGCTCCGCTTCTCCTCGCGAGATGCAGCCACAACCAGTTTGGCTTTAGCTTTCAGCCCAAACTGCAAATACCATGCTGGTTCTGAGATTTCCAGAGCCTTGGTGAGCTCGAAAATGGCCAAGCTGCCTCTTTGTCTGCCTCGAAAGCCTTGCAAACACAATGGCCTTTCTTGAGTCGAGCTCACAATGACCTTTCTTGGCTGGTGGGTTTTCTTTGCGCAAACCAGTCCCAAACCCTTCGCTTGAAATGTGTCTAAATATTTTCCTCCTGTTCACAAAGGCCGAAAAACTTCAATAATTTTGACAATCGTAACAGTAGTGAACTTTTTACATGACTAACAGGGACAGTGTCGTGTCCTTCTTGTTCCTCTTGTTCTTGAAAAAAAAAGTGCACAACTTAATCTTACGGCATTATGGGATCGACATACATATGGTTTAATTTAGCACACTATATCTCCTTCAAACTGACCCATATATAAAACAAGGAAAGGGTTTTCTCTTAGACCATGAAATTTCTTGGCAATGTGTACAGCCTATCGCCTCCCCTTCCCCCCGTATCCTCCCCCTTTCTCCTCTCATGTTCCAGCCTTCATGGTAGTAAATTGCATGAGAACGGCCTATTGACTGAGGTGAGTTTGAGACTCCCGCTCTAAACATATCACTTGTTAATAAAAGCACAGAACTGCTGCATCTGAAAGTAACTGCACACAATAAATTAGGGTCAATGATTGCTGGAAACCGTCTACGGAGAATATAATCAGAGTTGCAGCTGTAAGCGATTTGCCTTCTTGCTTCAGTTTTCGTACACAGTTCACGTAGCTATTTGTGATGATGAATAGGTTTGCATCCTGACTGCTGTGTGCTGCAGCATATGTAATCAACTAGTTGACGCAAAGAAAGAAATAGTCAGATAAACAGCACACTCCTATGGAAATGTATTCCACATGCTGTTTCCAGTAGTTATATGAGAAAGTATGCTTTGGTTTGTTAGCTTAAGACACCTTACTACACTTACATCTGAAGTCATTCGATCACTGAGAAATGAGCGAAAAAAAAAAAAACTGGAATAAAGATGAATGAGTGAGCAGTAAGAGAGTGCTGCTCAAAGCTACGAGTGCTTGCTCCTGTACATAGCAGTTTGGCATTTGAATCTGAAAATGATGTTCATGATTAAATGCAAGAAACAAAAACACATGACAATATCCATTTTACATGGCATGCTTAAAGCTCTGCATAGTGTATGGGTGGAAGGGGAAAAGATGCACGGTGAGGATATAAATGTTTGGTTGGCTCAGGGCTGTTCAGTCAGTCAAGGTGCACATACCTGTCGGTTGTGGACTTTCAACCTTGCAGACGCCGAAAGGTCAAGAGGAGGCGCAGCTCCCTTTCCTTTCCTGCTCTCAGAATGCACACTTCCTGAGATACAAATAGAGATTATTAACAATTGATAATTTACTTTCAAACAAAGCAAAGAAGCACTAGCAGTATGAGCATCAGGAACTTAATGGCTGTTTATTTAGGTCGCATGATCTTCTCCAATGTCTACACTTTGACTCAATTAGTCCGGTTAAGGAACGTGCCTGGATAAAAATATTATAAGTACTCCTCCTAATGTCTTTTCATTAGCTCTCAAAGCTGTCGAGGAAGACTAGGAAAAGAGAGGAAGAAAAAAAAGTGCTTTGTAATTTGCATTTCTCAAATATTGACACGGTAATTGCATTGTGTTGTAAAGGGCTCGAAGTCAATGGCAGGAACGGCGGGCTTCTTTAAAATAGCTGACTTCCCGCCGTCCTCCGCATAGCCGTTCTTCGCCAGTGAGGGGACGCGTAAAAAGAGATAGAACAAAGGTTTATTTACATGATGTAAAGAGATGGAACAGTACAGTGAATCAGCAGAGATTCAGCATTATGCACAACAGAGATTCAGTGGTTCTTTACAAAAAGTCTTCAACTTTTGTAGCCCGTCGTTCCCTTAAATGGAGGTGCAAAGAAGGCGGTGACCACTCTTGCCACAAATCAGGTGACGAAGTCTCAGTGTTCCACCCACCAGAAAGGGTGCAGATTTTGGACCACTCGGCTGGTGAAAAAACACGGGCGAAAAGGTCCAATGGTAACGCCAGCGCACTGCAGAATGACGTACCCGGCCCACGTCTTGAAGACGTCGAAGGGCGAAGAAGTAGAGTCCGGTGGATGGGGAAAGTTGAACTCCTCGGGGAGATGGCCGCTGACACGAACGTCAGCAGTGGTCCAAGGCAGCGTTCTGCTACAGTGTTGCCAGAAGTTTCCCAAACTCGGCAGGCCAGGTGCTCAATCCCTGAGTGCTGCAACTGCGACGCCTTCCAATGCTTCCGAACTGTCGGTGCTTTTGTGGCAATTTTGCATCGGCAATTTCGCACCGAGTCGAGAGGTTGACTCCATGAGAACTGTCACAGTAGCACCGTCCCATGCTGTTCGATCGAACCCGTTCAACAAAAGGGTTGTCTTGCGAAGCTTTTGTTAAGGACCGACTACTACCTGGAACCTCTATAGGAAAGCGTCTAGCCGACTGGGCGATGATGGGGTTGAAAGCCGACCGGCTTACGCACAATAATGCCTGCCCAGACGAACTGCCGGGCCAAACGTAACAGTGTGTTGCTCTTTTTTTCAATAGTTGGTATTCATGCACAGTGTTTAAAAATTATCAGCTCACTCAAGTCAGTCTTCATTATTTATAAAATTACAGAATCAGTCCCTGTGCATAAAGCTAATGGAAAATTATGAATTGTTAGCAGCTATGTGTACAATACAATACATTATTCTCATCTCCAAACCTTGAAAAGTAAAACTTCTCTTTGAAAGCAAATTGTATGAGCAATGCTTGTAAAAGTATATATTGGAGGGTATTTCAGCACATCACAGCTGTAGAGATAACTGTATGTATTGTGACAGTAAGAAAATATCAAATGGAAAGCAGTAATACAACAAAATAAATAAAGAACATAAACTGCCTCAAGTTCCCATTGTGTAGCAGAGAGTCAAGAAGTGAAACTAATAAAAGAGTGACACTCCGAAATGTATATTGTATAGTCTGTTATTAAAATGAAGTATTTCCACTCACCTTCAAACAATGCTGCAGTTTCCTGGTTTAGCCAAGGGGTTGTGGTGCAGAAGCCAAAGTAGCTGCACATTAGAGAGCCACACAAAGTAAATGCATTTTGTGTTTTTTTTTAAATATTGGATGGCAATAGCTAAAACTGTGTACATTACTTCAGCATTTGATGTTATTTCTAATGTGCTCACACTTAGTTAGAGTTGCGAACTCGACTGTCGAAATTCAAGTACCACAGTTGACAATATTATAGGCAATGAATTGCCACTGCTTGAGCACGGAAAAATTAATGCATGCTCACATGTGAAACTACACCAGACTGCCAGGAGACAGAAGCCTTACACGGCCACCCTTCAGGACCCATTGGTTCTGCAGAATCACAAGGCACTCATTATGTGACAATGCAAGCCAGCAGCAACATCAGTTTCAAGCCTCAATTAGCTTGAGTCAGCCTAATGAGGAGCGCGTGTTGGTAAAGCCTGTCACTCTGGGGAGCTTGATCGAACGGAGTGCTTCAAGTGATCCTCTCTCCAAGTCTCGTCATTTGCTAATTACAGCAGAATGTGCCATTGAGAGACGACCGAGTTTCTTTGAAGCTGGCTACATCAAAGACACTTTCTGTTCAGGCAATGAAACAAAGGAGCTCATGATTCATCTCCTCCACTCCGTTTTTACTTTCTACAAATGAAATTAGTAAGATGCAACGTGCAGCTGTGTATAGTGAAAGGAAAAACAATAAAAAAGTGTTAGAGAAACAACAGTTGATTTCATGAATTGAAAAGAGCCAAATTTGAAAACAACTGTGTTCATATAGATTTAAAGTAAGCTTTTCTAAGAAGGCAGCAACAGTATAAATGTTCCTGTAGACTACATAATTAGGTGCTTGCATAGGTAAATGATTATTTCACTTTCGTTTCATGCACATAGTGTATGTGTTTACAAAAGTGTCTAAATGATTCGGTGCATTTCATCGCAATAGTAGTTTATACAAGTGCTTAATATTTCGCAGAGCTATCGGTGCTAAGTAAACTGGAGAAGCATGCCTCTGATTATTCAAATTAATTACTCGGTTATAAAAGCACTCTTAGTGAATGCAAAGAACATGAAAAGCTTGATGGTGCTCTCTCAAACATTACTCACCCAAATTCTGCAGTCAAGTGTAACTAGGTAGTGCATGTGCTTACTAATGTCTGTAGCAAAATACTGCTTAGTGAATGGTGAGGGTTTTTCGGTAATCTTGTGGACTGCGAACTCAAAGGGCAACTGCATGCTTTATTGCAGAGCTACCTTTACTTCACCTTCAAGATTCGTAGAATAGAAGTGCCAGTTATATTTGGGTTAGTAAGGCATGAGCAGAAACCGCAGGTGCCTAAAAGTTTCAGAGAGATCTTCAAAACGAGTGATTTGATCATTTGCAGATGAAGCATTTCGAGACAAAAAGCAATGAATTGCAAGTTGCATAAATAGTATTTCACTAACATGTAACATTGCACATCTTGTAACCAGCATATTTTTGCATGGCTGTTTTTAGCTATACACAAAGTTGACTAAATGGAGCACATTGAGATTCTGCATTGTAATCAATTATATCTAATTTGTGATGTTAGAAAAGAACGTGCATAATGTCTCAATGAAAAAGTTATATGTTTTTCAGTGCTGCCTGTAAATTTGCTATTAAGTAATACATTAAAATTTAACTTGATCACCATCATCTAACTTCCTAAATTTGGTGAAACCTGGAAAGGCAACTGTAATATCTGCCTGATTGCAGATTAACCTTACTGCATTAATGTTGAGCCCTTTGTTCAGCCTTGATGTCTACTCTTGGTACTCCTCAGTTACTGAAAGTTGGAAGAATGAACAACAATTTCATAAAAAACGTTTCCAAGTAAAGCACCTACTGCCCCAATCAACACAAGTCCCCTTGTTGAAATGGTGGTTACAATGACACTTCCTGTTTGGCAATCTTGTCATTCATTCAATCTACCCATTTACCTGTGAATTTATGTCTTATTAACTGTTTAAAGACACTATTAGCTGGGAAAAAAAAAGACAAGTAACAACGGACACATAAAAAGAAGGTGACAGTATGAAGCTGTATGATATCAAAGGAAGTTTCCCATGGAATAAGAAATATGTTGCAAGAATGTGGATAGTTGAGTTAGTTGGTGCCTAACTCTTGATGGAAAAAAAAGCAAGGAACATTTGACGCAGCAAAAGAAGGCAACAGTGTGGACCTTTTTTTTTTTTTTTTTTTTTGCTGTGTCCGCTGTTCCTTGCTGGTTTTTTTCATCTGCTATCATGGTACCCCTTGCCTTACTACGCGCAACGTAGCAGCCTTAGCTGTTCATCCAATGAAGTAGACATAGCTTTTGCAAGTTTTCTGTCCTTTAGTCCCCCATATTCTTAAATTTCTGCGCTAAATGTAAGCATATATTTAACCAAGGCGAGAAGTCAGCCCATCATTAAGTTGTTTCTCTTCACTTGTGTCATAGATGATTACAATATTCGCTGAGGATTCATGATGCGCTAGTGTAACACGCTAGTTCAGGAGCACACCGCAATGGTGATTGAATGAGGTGCCACTTAGACTGATGCGAGAAGCATGTTCATAACTCACGCTAAGCTTTGTCAGCTTCCTGTTTCCTTTGTTTTTCGTACGAGGAAAGCTGGAGGAACGGCAGACAGCCCGACCTCTTGGAGGATGTTCTGTGTGAGATGTAGGCAACAGGCAAAGGGTAACTGTGACCGACGCCGGTAAATTTTGTTTGCGCACACTAACTGGGAGCAAAACAATGGGAACAATGCACAGCCCGCTAGGGCGCGTTTCGTATGGTCGCGGCAGGCGGTCGCAACGCAACAACTCGACCAGTCCGTTTGCACGCGGTGCCCACTAGTCCGCCGCCAGGAGGTGCCACAAGCCCACCGCGGGACCTTTTTATACGCCTCCGCTAGCGACCATATCTGGACCGTTTCGTTAATGAGCCGAGTCGTTCGTTTGTTAGAGGGGGGGTTCCAAGAGGGCGGCGGGTGCTCGGATTTGAGGCAGGCTTCCTTCCTCACGCGATGCGGGGCGCCGCCTGGTGATGAGTGCGCGCCGTGAGCTCTTATTAACTTCCCCGAAAACAATGCTGACGAGCGCGTTCGGGTACCACAACCCGCGGACGCCACCTATGCGCGCATTGTGCGCGCACGGCCGCACATTGCATGGACGCAATATAACAACAAAACGAACCGGGAACGTGGCGATGAGTTTTACTGGGTTGCCGTAATAACGGCTTTCGCTAGCAAAGGCGGGACGTAATATACATATATACGGCAGAAGGAGGAGGTGCGGGCGCGAAATGAAAAAAAAAAAAAAATGCCACAAATTTCATTACGGAGCCGCCGAATCTTTCATTAAACTTTTTTTCTTTTTTTCATTCGCAGGCACTACTGGGCTATCGCATCGTAAATTCGCGGTCGCTCACGCACGGTACAATAACGCTTCCCAGCTCGATACTTCGGCAAAAGCAATACTAATGGCGCGAGGAAATTTTTCGTGGTGTCATTAATTTGTTTCGGCGTCTAGAGCTCTTAAAACGAACGTCTGCGCGGAATGGTGTGGCGGGGAAAAAATTTTTATCGCGACTGCGAAAGTTCGTGGTCTTCGTAATTATCGCCGGGGAGATTGCCTTTTTATATCGTACCGCACGGGCCATCCCGGGTACATTGCCGAGAAATGCGTAATAACGCGGAAAAATAATGCACAGAGCCCGCCGACCGCGCCACTGACGCCTGGTGCGATTTCATCCGCGTCGCCGTTTTTTTTTTTTAATTTCTTTTCGTCTGAAGAACTGGTATTTACGAGACGTCTACAGCACTTTATAAAGCCGCATGTTTGAGAAAGACTCAATTTAAATTACCACTAGTCGGAGCCATCCGTGTTTCCAGTGAAATCGAAAGCTGCGCCCAACTTCTGAAGGTGTAGAGATCAGCATCAAGCCTAGGAGCGGCATTCTTGCACAATTCTTCAGCATTGCTCAGCCTCCTAGACAGGAAAAAAGAAAACGTGTGTTCTGTTGTTTGTCATCCTGTGAAATCAATCAATCAATCTATCAGTCTACCTACCTACCTACCTACCTACCTACCTACCTACCTACCTACCTACCTACCTACCTACCTACCTACCTACCTACCTACCCACCTACCTACCTACCTACCTACCTACCTACCTACCTACCTACCTACCTACCTACCTACCTACCCACCTACCTACCTACCTACCTACCTACCTACCTACCTACCTACCTACCTACCTACCTACCTACCTACCTACCTAATACCGCTGTGAAACCGATTTATAGACGACGCTGTGCGTAGCGAATTTCAGTCATACAGCATTTTTTTTTTCGCTCGAAGGAGCATGTCTCGGCTCATCTTAGTTAGACCCAACTTAATCCGCGGTTATCACCTGATAGCAATCAGTAACGGACTCTCGGAGAATGTTTTTTGTAGGTGGTATCTGTTACAGTTAAAGGGATCAGTTTGCCACTTCCTTCCTGCACAGGTGGCACGGAGCAAGGAATTCCTTCCTCCACGACAGGTGTTAACGTTCGTTCTTGAGCCTATGCTAAATGTTCACTTCGAACAATATGTTTATGAAGGCAACTTTTCACAATGGCCGTGCGATCACGATGATTCGACACACAAAACGTGAAACTTCCGAACCTGTTATCAAGAAAAAGGGGCTCAGAATAGTTTTCTTTTTATTTATTTACTGCACCTCACAGAGCCCTCGAGACTCTTGTGCAAGGGGGCGGTCAGGAAATACGCGAGAGAAGTATATATATATAGGCAAATATTGATTAATACAGAAAATACAATTCAACTCATGAACATATAACATTATGTAAGATGTAATACAAAAGATCATTTAGCCGCAAATATTAACTAGCTACAGTGCGACATAAAATGAAAATTGACAAAAGAGTTTCCCGCAAATAAATGTACACAACACACAAAAAAAACCAGGTAAACAAATGGTCAGCGTGATTCAGCAGTACGCGTTATGCGAATGCTAACGATGTAACCATACATCGTCCGTCTGTTATTCGATATCGTTTCAAAATCACTTCGCTTCGCCAACAATTATTTTGTGCGGAAAGAAGCGCGTCCTGGCTATCGCACTGCACATCCAACACCTTGCCTTTTTACGAGTACGGGAAACCGACCTCGACTTATCAAAGACCGAAGGGATTTCGCGTCCCCAACTATTCCCCGACAAGACGGTGCACGCCGCGAGGTTACGGTCACTGCCGCCACGCGTTCCCCAGCGCCGTCATCATCCCCAGGCCGCGGCTACCCCAGAGTAGGCCTCGACCTCGCATGGGTCGCACGGGCGGTATCGCTCGCCCGTATCGGCGCTCGCCCAATGAGTTTGGTGTGCGAGGACACCTTGCCCGAGAGAATCGTCGAGGAGACGCCATCGGCAAGAGTGCGCGTCATCGTATATATGACCCTCGCGAGTCCGGCAGTGCTGAGAGCTTCGAGCGTGGAGGATCGGTGCACGCGCGGCGCCCGCGGTGGCGCTAATCAAAGAAGAACTTACCTCGCCTACAGAGCTCTTCTAGCCGAGGACATAAACTCCGACTGGGACGCCATCGACGCCGCCATAGAGCGTTTCCGCGTCGAAGACCAGGTAAGCGCCGTGGTAGATTCTCTATTCGCCGTCGAAAATATCCGTTAGGTCCCGCGCACGGACAAACGTTGCCGCCATTTTTCCGGCGGCACCGGTGTTCGAAGTGAGACCCCCTGTAAACCGTAAGAGTGTTGCCAGTCCTTCGCGCAGTCTTGTAGTAGTAGTAGTTGTCTTGGTGGTGCTTGCATGAAGAAAAAAGGCACCTAATTTCCGTCTACCTCTTCGGCGACACGGCGAAAACGTAGTCTGGTCCGTGTGGCGGGGCTGACGGAATCCCCTACTCAACCGCATAGTTTGGACTCGCCTGATCTCCGAGATCACGGGCACGGCCGTCGCTGATTGGTTCGTCTGTAAAGAGTCTCGCGAAAGGAGCCGAATTTGCCTGTATTTTGCTTCCTCTTCGGAAAATCAGAGGTGCGCTTCGCAATAATAGTTTGAATGTTTGTGGAATTAGTAGCGAGTAAAATGCTAGAGCGTAGCGTAACTTGTGCGGGACGTACTCCATTGCTTTGCGGTGGAGTTCACTCCATCCTCCAAGGGTGGAGCTAATGAGCGAGCTCAGGAAACACGCGGTTTGTAACCGACTGGCAAGCTTGAGTAGGCTGGAAACAGCAATTATGTAGGAACGGGCTTGTAAATATCCGCTCTCCGAAAAAAAAAAGGAGAGAAATGATTATCAAGTTAGCGTCCTTGTTGTGATCGCAGTATTGGTCGCATAGGAGTTCTCTGGTCTGATGCGATCGTACGTATTACGTATTACCTACGTATTGCGGAGATGCATGCTTCTTGTGTGCACTAAATATGTGCTAAGCCTCGTCGACTCGGTCGGTAAGTCCGTAAACTTGTAGTGACAAATATGTACTTGTATTTGCGGTGTGCGCTTGCGTTGTGCTCTGATTGATTGGTTAGTTCGTTTACAAAACGTTTCTTTTCGTTGCGCGCTTTCAAATCTCGATCGATCGCCAAATGCCAACAAGAACGCTTGAGGGAACTTGCAAGCCTGTTAGACGCGGTTGATCATGTTCTGCGTTGTCGACATCATACAGCTCGTGCTCACGACCCCGAGCCTACTTTTGCCGATCAAGAACTAGTCGCTGGAGGTCAAAGGGGAGTGATGTGCTATAGTATACGGCGCATGATGCTTCGACAGTCCCCTTCATAAGCGCGCGCGAGGAAGGGGGGGGGGGGGGGCTATGTTGCCCCTGGCATTGGCCTAATGAAGAGGGGGGCGCTGCTACGAACCTTCGCCTGCCCCCCCCCCTCCCTTTCCCACTCCCTTCGCTGAAGTGGAACCCTGCGCATCCTTTGCAGTACCCTTGATATATATATATAAGAAAACTGCGACAAATAGCAAAAAGAAGCAATTGTATCGATGGACGGATGCTATGAACATCCCATTTATAACGGAGCGATGACATCTGTGCCACCAGGCTCGATAAAAGAATTGTTGGCCTGACGTCTTGTCTACTGTGGTTATAGCCATATTTCTGCAGAACCGAAACATTAATTGCACGTGGCTGCGATTGTATGGTTTGGATGGCGGCGTGCTGCTGTGCAATCTCTTCTCTTGCTATACTTGCGTTGGAGACGTTAAGCAAGGATCAAGCGACTGTATCAGCAATGTCACACACCGCGAAAGACAAGACTGGACTATGACTGAGTGTGCGCGCGTGTGCTGCCGAATGTGCTGTTTCTCTCTTCCCTCTCTGCTCTCTTTCATCTCCCCCATCCCTCTCCCATGCGCAGGGTTGCAAACCGGCTGCCTATAGGCTGGTTAACCTCCCTGCCTTTCTTTTCCCTCTATTTTTCTTCCTTCCTAAAGCAAGGAGGACGAATTGGAAGGAACTAAATGGTTGCAGACCACAGTGCGGTGAACGTTGCCAAAGGGGTAGAAAATCATTCGCTTGCTGTGTGTGTAGCGCGGGAACTTTGGGCATGTTAATATCTAGGGGATTTTCTATTGGGAGGGGGGGGGGGGGCGTCACACTTTTGTTTGCATCGCCTCGAAGGGGTGGATGCGTTTTTGTGTGTGGCTTGGTTGTGGGGCAGATTTTGGTGTGGCCTAAAGGAGGGCCAGTGCGTGCGTGCGTGCGTGCGTGCGTGCGTGCGTGCGTGCGTGTGCGTGTGTGTGTGTGTGTGTGTGTGTGT